TTAAGGGATTATTGTATGATATTTTAAACGCATAGACATTAATTATACGGAACGCTTATGCGGCTCAGCATCGAGCTACGACTTATTATAATTATTTAATGGTTAACATTATTCTTGTACATAACGCAGCGCGGGCACCGTGGTAGTCATTGTGTTTTCCAAGGGTTTGAAATGTGTAAAAACACTAGTCATTTTTCTACCTAAAACAAATAGGTCGACTTTATTTTGGAAATAATTACCGTGACCGTGATCGCACACACCGAACGTACCAGGAGGTGGACCGCATAAATTATTTACTAAAACATATTTTCCCAACTATATTATTTTCGGTTCACGGGGATTTTTTAAAACAAATTTTGTGTTCTCCCTTTTTCAATGTTTTGCCTACTGTCGTCTTATTACCCAAAGTCTTTGCGAAGCGATTAGCTATACGATTTGACAACCCCACGAACCCGAAATGATCCTAAACATTAAGTCTCTGTCATATTTATAAGTCTCAGAGTGTCTTCTTGTCTTTATATCACACGTCCGTTGGCGCCATCGCGATATGAATGTGTACACTGTACAATAGACAGTGCACAATTCAGATATAAAGTGTGTTCATCGTTAAAAGGCGAACAAATGTTAAATTGACAAACACCACTTATAACTTCAGTTACAATACTATGATCAAAGTTAAATTGTACAAAACTTAGCTACCGTATCAAGATTTCGGTAAAGCATTTATTTCTCAAACAGGAAAAAAATAACATTCGCCATTAATCAAAAAACATTTTTTTTAAATACTGGCTAAATGAGATAATTGTCTTTGGGCTTAGTGTTATTATTGGTCATATAGTAATCAGGTTTTCCCTGATTCAAACACGTGAATCTAAAAATCTCATTAAAGAAAATACAATTATCGCAACAACGACATTAATGTGCTCTAAACATTTGGCCATTTGGGTCATAATAAAAATACTATATTATAATTACAATGACTGGTATTTTGTTTAAACTAACGTCATCTCATTTATTATAGTAATAATAATAAAAATAATTAACTTTATTGCAACAATATAATACAAAATATACACAATTTTAATAATTAGATTACAATATCGCAGCACCCCCTAAAAGTAAAGCTTGTGCCGGGGGAGCTAGTTGTTATCAATTTAAGTTATACATAACACCTATACCCCTATATAAGCTCATTTAGTCAGATTTTTCATCTACAAAGTGCGACATCAAAATATTATATGAGTATTAAATTTTTGTATACGCTATTATACCACCATTTATGTGAGCTCTAGTCTGTAATTCGTTTAACGCCTTGAAAAATAATTTTTTACTAAAAACGTATGACGTATGCAAATTAAAAAAACAACATTATAAAGTATGAGCTCTTTGTGTATGGCAGCTCAAGAAACACGCGAATAAAAAACATTGTCGGGTGATTTTTCTTTAGCGTTTGCTATTTGTTTTTTCTTTCAACTCAACTTCTAAGCAGTTCTTAAATTTAAACAGCTCGGAGCTTCTCTAGTTTTCGACTGTACTCTTCAGAATCATCGCCAATTAATTGCCGCTTCGTTTAAAGCATAATATTCTGAAATATATAAAATAATTTCTGTAGGCCATAAAGATAAAATAGAAGCTATCATTTTTAGACCTCTAAGTCATCTACGACAATAGCAGTTTTACTTTAATATCTATTATTAATGACTTTATGTATATAATACATATTGGATGTATAAATATACACATTTTAGTGCAATGTTTTTTTTTATATTATAATAGGAAATATATAACCACTATTTTTAGACACTCAGTCCTTGGCATCTTAAACCTTGAAATTCTCACTTTCCCTACTTTCCCGCTTATACTTAATCTGACTTCTTCACTATAGTGTCAATATATCAGGCAAGATTAGTTTAAGTACAGGTCGACTAGATGGTGTTTAAGTTAAGCTAACGAGTAGCACGTATATCAAGTTACAGGAGTTAGTGTCCGTCATCAACAATAGCTGTACTATACTTTCGCTCGCCGGTGTTGACTTTTTTGTGCATTAGTTGTTTAAGAAATGTAATTTTGATTGTCGCCCAAAGGCAATGACTATGAGAAAACAAAATCTAGTTTAGACGCATCTTAAGGTATATAATAATTACTCCAATGTGTATTCGGCTTGTGCTTTTCGCTTAACCCGATGGCCGCTTAGCGCTGATACCGGTTGTTTGCCTCTTCTTATGTGTTAGTCGAGTTCTTAAAAAAAAAAAAAAAAAAAAAAACATTAAGAATCCCCATAAATCTGTGTAGTGTGTCTTAAATCGAAAAGTCAACACGAGCGTTCGTGTGTTTCGTGCGTCCATTAAGAACACACATATACGGTTCGTTTATCCGAATGAATATGTAAAAAAAATGTGCGCGTGAGCGTTTGTATTGTGCGTTTATTAACACTGGTATTTTGCTAATTGCTTTTGAGTGCGTTTAAATACTTTATGATACATTATTGTAGTATATATATATATGTATATATATATATATATTAAAGCTGCTGCGGCGGTAGTAGTTACTAGTTAGTTAGACGGTTGTGTAATTTTTTCACTTAAATTTAATTTTAAGTACCGTCACGCACGGGTTTTTGTATATTACAATGTGGATATAATATCATATATATATATAATATATTATATGTATATATATATACATAGTATTATTCGCCTACGCCACGACCGTCTTCTATTGTAGTCATTTACTCTATATGTATGTATATATATATATATATATATATATATATATATATATATATATATATATATATATTATGTGTAGTCCTGCGGTGCATATAGCATGTGATCCGAAACGTCTGTGTTGTTTGGATCCATCCGCGACAGCCCGTTTCGCTCATGGCGGCAGCGCTGGTTGCGGGGGCGAACGACCTCTTCTTTCGGCAGGCCCAGAGCGATGACATTGCACCTCCTCACCAGACACACTGTATGCAACGACGCACACAACCACTACTACCATAGCCGGCGTAACCTCCCCACCGAAGCCGCTGTACCATTATAATATGATGATACCTTGTATACCACCGCGGCACACAAAAGCAGCGGCGTCGGATTGTGTATTTTTTGCTCCTTACAATAATTATTTTTCCGACACGCTCGCTTGGAGATTCGGATCGCTTTTTATAGTTTGATCATCAAAAGTTCTACATGGTTCTATCCTCCCCTCTCCTTTGCGTTTGTCTTCCCCGTCGCACTATTATATTATATACACTGGTGGTGTCCTTCGTGCGTACTGGAGCACATCCGATGCATGTTTTTTTCCCTATAATATATTGGCTCAACGTGTAATGTTCCTATCGCTTAACATACATTTCGTGGACACAAAGGTTTGTCCTCGCGCAGAATCATTCAGGCCCAACGCATTTGCGTGCGTCTCCTCTTTGCCGGTTAAAGGTCGATTTCAATCGGTGAATTATATGAATTCTTTCAATACATTTGAAAATATGTCTCGGTGTGTCCAAACAACGGGATGTGTCTCTGTCCCCTTCCCTCTCCTATTGCAGAGATTAAAATTTAAAAAAATTATACCTAAGTTTCTATGTATAGCCTAGTTACCATACGTCCTATATTGATAATTATTAAAATAATTGTGTTTTATCAATTTCTAATGACAACGACTGTTTACATACAAGTGTATTACGGTGTGTATTTTGCGGTCTATATGATCGAGTGGTAAAAAAAATTGCGATTTTAATCTGTTGTAAGTGTATAAACTCTGAATTGTGTAGTACCCTACTTAATATTCGGAACATCCTTAAATTAGTAGAAGGAGAGGTGATGGAGGAGAATAAAAGATCATGTCATGTGTAGGCCAATGATAAATCATGAAAAAATACTATATATTTAAATTTTAAACCGCCTATTCTCAAAATACTGGAGTAGCTTCTGACCTATCTGATAAATTATCTGAGCTCAATAAGATAGTACAAGCGTATAATATTTTGAACGTGTGAATGTTGTTAATCACATTTGCCATTAAAAACATTAAGTCCTCCTTCGTTTGTCACACACTCACATTTCGTAAAACAAAGTGATAATTTAATATGATTGATTATGGAATTTTAATGTCGTTGATGGAGCTATTATCAAGTTTGTATGTCGAGAGACTAATTTGCGATGTATAATAGGCAAATTCTTGACTAGCTGTTGTTACTACATTTCGTTTTTTTACTTCATCATTCGTGTAAGGCGTAAGCGGCGTACTGTTTCTCATTTAGGTACAAATATAGGGACTAATAAGTTATATTTATATATTAAACATCTCGCCGTTATGTAACGATAATAATAATTGATGTGTCATGTGGGCCATTCATTTCACACTGGTTTGACAGAATGATATAGGTTATCCGTATTGGTTGTTTTTAACAGTGAATGATCGAGTTAGCAAATTCTATTATTGACAAATTGAATTAAATTTTCTCCGTTTGATGTTTTTTTTTTCGATTTTCTAATCTATCATAATCGTTTAAAGGAAACTACTACCGATACCACTGCGCATCGACCACGACACAGAGTGATTTAATATTATTCAATCCATACCGTATACACAGAATTGGACCTAAATCATATGAGTGTATCTGAACGCGTCCCTTTTATACATGCTATATTGTAAACGGGTTATGTAATGCCAGACCGGTGTCGACATTATGTGACCGAGTTCAAGTGGAATTTTTCTCCGTCGCGGTACCACAACTCGTAAGACAAGTATTTCGGCAGGTTAAGAGGACGCCAAACCATATATTTATTAAGGAGTTAAGTATAGGCCGTGTCCACCGCGTAACAGTCTTGTCGTCGTGCGTTTGTTCTATTGTGGGAAAATGTAAATATTATGTTATCTTCCAGAAACTTCACTGGTCGCGTCCGAATGGGTAAACCCCATTCTTCAATTGAAAAAACGAGCCAATTTTTTCTTTTGGCTAGGTATATGTTTACTTATTTTATTTGTTTTATTCACAGATAGTTGGCATCCAACAGTATTTGGTGAAACCGACCGAAGTCGACCAGAACGAGAACACGCTGTCTGACCAAGTCACCTCGGACATTGGCATCACCGAGAAGATGGTCAAGACGTCCGGTATCCCCCTGCAAGACGCCATCGAAAAGGTGAGTCAATTGTTTTTGTAATACATATTTAACAGCAACATAAACCTTCTAAATGAAAATGGGCCTCAGCTCATCGAGGTCGACAACAAACAAAATATTTTAAATCGAATATTAAGAAAGGTAGAAATGATAAATTTAGCATTTTTTATTTATTTCGATCGACTGACCGATAGTGTAATATATTTTTATTAGATATAACCCGTCGTCCGTTTCCGATGCAACCGCGCCTTTTGACCCTTTTGCAAGGTCTCGGGCGTGACACTGATCGTCTGCGCTTGTACGAACGAGCTGCGCCGCCGATATTAATACTTTTTATTTATGTTTATCACTATGCGCATGTTTATATTATAATATATTGTGTTGAACAACACACAAGGGTACAACTGCAGCTATTGTATAATTACCAGCCCCGGCGTAGGTATATCCCGAACGAGTTCTGTATTAATACATAATATTATTATGACACAATACACGTTGTATGGTATTATATGTTCTAGGCAAGGCGCCAAACCGATTGCCTACGATTTGGATTTTCTAAAACGCATAGTTATTGTGTGCTTACTAACTTACTAACTGGGTAAACGAATACGGAGTTTTTCGTGACTCCACGGGTGACCGATCGCGTGTACAGGGTGTTCAACCCCGCATGTTCCGCAACAGGTATCAGCACCGTGTAAAGTACACACCGCGGCCTGTGTTAAATGTGTTTCCTGCACGTACACCTGCGCCTATGACGAGCAGCAGGGCCACAGGGCGTGTAAAACAGCAGCAAGGCAACTGCTGGCGAACGGAGGAGGAGGCGCTAAATGGATGCGGGGGCGGAGGCGTTACAGATACGGTTTTTTACGCTCAACCGCGTCCGGCAAGGTCTTTTTTTGTAGCACCCGGATGTGCAGACCCGTATGATAATAATAATAACAATAATACAATACAGTATTTGGCGAGTGCCAGGAATCAGATTTAAACGTCGGGGGGTTTATCACTAACGAAACGAAGCCCATGCGGATTCAGATCGTACGATTTCATTAAACTCTCTCTCTTGGTATAGGCCATAATAATGTCTCGATGATGAGCGAAGGCGAGGCGACGAGTCCGAATCGTAAACTCTTCAACACTTGCAGTTTTTTGGAACTTTTTACTTATTATTCATGTTAGTTGCTCTCTTTGGAATTAAACGCCGTCGGTATAATAATATCATTACGATCCTCGGCGTTATTATCGGCTTATTGCTCCTGAGAAATGCACTGTGTGATATCCAAATCTTAGTGCTATACTTTATCTTGGTGGGCTTTGGATGTACCAACTACTGAAGAGGACGACGGGAGAGCTTTTGTGCGTGTCCGTCGGTATCAACTGGTTCGTTTTTTGTAACCGTAGTCGAAAGTATATATTGAAGAATATGACCACAACACTTTTATTACAAATGTTCTCAATCCCATGTGTGTATGTGTGTCCAGATAGGAAAAACTGGTTTCGTCGGCGTGTTGATCGACTAAACAGAGTCTCCATCGCTGTACACACATGATCGTTTTTTGTGGTCGTCCACAAGCTACTCCACAAAATTAGCATTATTACTGACACGCTGGCTAACTGTTACTGAAAGAATGATGCGTTATTATTATCACAATTTTGCATTTTCCCTACGGCCCCTGACACGTAGGTTGAGTGAAATCGAAAACTCGCATGTCACTTTTCCGAACTACGTCATTTAAGTGTACTAACGGGTGCTGATTCGACGTCATACTCAAGTTTACCGCTAGATTTGGTGACCTCAAAAAAACCGTTAATTTCATTGATAGATTTCATAACCGGAAAGTCCTTGGGTTATTTGATATATTTTTTTAGGAATGTTTTTCACTGTTACATAAACGATAACTTGGCTGGCGCTGGCATTTAGATGATTCGAGTCAGTAAGACAAGTTTTCGATTCTACTCCATCTCGAGAATATATACCTAAATAATTTATAACGTTACCGGGCACCCTGTACAACACTGTACACTCGAACGAACTGCGCGTGCAATCAATGCATAATACCACGATCCTATACTGCGTGCGGTGTATACGAATTGGCACTTTGAATGTCGTCTCTCGCCTGGGATGTTTTGGGCAAAAGTAATTTAACTCCATAATGATGTTTAGTGTGTGTGTTTAATATCCCGCAATAACGAGAATAGCCGATGTCGCAAACCGCTGAGAGTAGAAATCACCGTGGTCGTGTTCGCCGTGTGCCATTCGCTTTACTTATCTAGGACGCATCGCCCTTGGGTACGACCACAAACGCCCTCTGACCGAGTGATAATCAAAGATCATTATTATTTTATCTTCCAGAGTCCCAAGCAGTGGACCACAGCCACCCGTTGCAAATCTCACACTCGGAAATTCTATTAAACAGTCCAATAATTCTCAATTCTGGGTGTAATAATATTTGCATACAAAACGGTTTCTTTTTTTTTATTATTTATTTAGGATTTGTGTTTTATTTTATATTTTGTGGACGGTCGGTTAAATCTGATTACGGCTACAAAGATTTACATGTAAATCTTTGCCAGTCGAACTTCAATCAATGTCTCGCGTACAAACGTGCCGTTTTCGAAGAAATCAATTCTACGGATTCGCTAATAATACTAAAAAAAAAAAAAATGCGGTCGACGATTCGCCATCGTCCGTCACGTTTGGGTCGAAAATCGTCTTATTCGATTAAGAAAAAAAAAAAATATATATATATATATATGTTGAGTAGACTGTACAAGTTCTGACCGATTCCCGTGTTTTTCCCACAGTTCAACCTAACTGATGTTATTTTTTTATTTTTTTTTTACTATTGACATTTAGGCATAATGTCTTCTTCTCTCTCTCTTTCTTTCTCTCGGAATTCCTGTGCCTAATCTTCATCATTATCATCGTTGGCCACGACGGTTCCGGTGGGTTTACCCCGAAGCCACTGTAAGGTGTTTGCCGAGACAAATTATCGATTTTCTTACTTATTTTTCTCCGGCGGTCTTTTAACCCCGTACCAAACACACCGTGCATAACGTTTGAGTGGCAAAACGGACGGCATGACGGTGTACCGGATGAACAATGTGCCCAATAAAAACGAAGAGAGTACAGTTTAGCGATTTTGTTCCAGTTGTCGTCAAGAGGCCCTCCTCCTCCGAGACGGTGTTTTGTGTGTTTTATAAGCATTGTTTACGGTCGACAATGTTCCGTTACGAAGCGAGACGAGACAAAATTAAAAAATCACTCCGTTATTATTCTCAATACATAAATAATTTGCAGAAAATTCGTGTGATAGACAAATCGGTCTGACGACTGATCTTCTTTTTTTCACATCTTTTGTGCTCCCTTATGAGCTGCGGTTAGGTTGCCGGTCGAGGTACTAAGCACTAGCGGTGCACATGTGACATGGCATTCGGTAAATATAATAATATGTAAATCGAAAACGTTATAAACAGTAATTATCATTAAATTTTAAGAACTACATAATAATTCCGGAAGTAACTAACGATTCGAAACCTTGACAGAACTTTTCGCCGTATCTATGAATTATTTCTAGGTTTTTCTTACTAGCTTTTTTTTATAATAATTACTGTATTTATAATTAGTTTGCCTTTTTTTGTAAACATATCATTATTTGTGTAATTTGCAACGTTTATAAAATGTCAATGTAAGTTTCATGTGTTGTTTTGGCTGCAATTAAATTGTGCTGGTGACGTATTCAATGATAATAATTACTCGGGAAGTTTTGTTGTCTTTAATTTTCGAGTGTAGTTTTAGGACTTAAAGTATAAATATTAGATTGTTATAGGTAAATGTACAATGAGGCTATACCATAAACGATTCTCTTGAAAATCTGTATTCAATTTTTTTTTTGTCAAATAAAACCATAAAAGGGGGAAATTAGAAAATAAGATATAATAATTCCTGAAAACCTGTGACCTCCCCGATTCTAATATGCTCTGTCCTCACTATGCCTCGTTACTGCTACAAGTATAATTACTCTTAAATTGGAAATTATATTACTTGGCATGTTTGTGAAACGCTTCGTACCTGTATTATTTTAATGAAATATATTAGTTTGATTTTTGTCGAATCACTATACTAGTCAGAATTCGGAACCTAGGAGAAGCTCATTACTCGTATTATATTTAAGTGATGAAACTGGGTTAGACATTAGTCATAGGTAGTTACTACGCTGAATACAAAATCGTACGTCATTACTATACTGCGCACACAGTTGCTATTAAGATGGTGCGATTCTTGAAAAATTACATTTTCAATAAAATCATCCGTAAGAAAGTGTTACGGATATAGTGTACTGCTGTACATACTTTGCAGACCTTGGACAATTCGAATGGCTTATTGCTAGCATTAATCGAGAAGCCTTAGAAGAGCGAGTGGTTTTGTGTTTCGTTTAATAAATCCAAATAGAATTAGCTGGGCGCCTAAAGTAATATTTTGTTGGATCACATTGAAAGGATCCAACAAAATATTACTTTTGGTCTCAGGTCACATCAGAATGATCAATAAAAAAAACGCAGCCAACACGTTTACTTAGTGATCAGGACAGTTTGACAAGCGTCAAAACCAGTATTAACGGATTCGTTTTAATAGATTATTTGACGGGTTCGGAGGTAATAAAATCTATACAGGGTGCTTACCGCGTTAAGACAATTTACATTTGTATAATATTCGTAATGGCGCCACTGTGCACAGACATTGGTAGTCGTGGGTCTAATATATTTTTCACATTATGATGTTTGCTGCTGTTTTATCATTCCAGTCAATTATTATATTAACCGGTCCTGTCCTATCCCGCTTATAATAGTGGCTGTAATAGTAGTATAATGTGTTTATTATTCTTGCCAATCTAGTAACTGCTTTATTGTAATTATTATACATTATGGTAATATAGTTAATAAGTCCGAGTCTCGTGTAATGCGGAATATATCTCATAAAGGTTGGTCATGTCAATAGATATGTTGTCCTAAAATCCTTGAGA